TTTTCTAAAATACAATATGTATTCCCTGATATGGCATGTTTATTTTGACCTAGTAGATCAGAAATTTCAAGCAGAAACTTTGAAACAAATAATCTTGTTAAGTGCCATATATATGGCTAATTTTGACTGTATTTGCAGATAATTTTCATCATTCCTGCCTTGTAGTACTACTGCTCCTGTATTTCTTGAATTATATCTCTGTATTCCATTTATCCTGTTAATTTTATCTGGTCTTCCTATTAATGTTATTATTATTATTATTATCATCATTTTTAATGAATCCCCTATTTATTTTGGATTGATCAGCATAGGCATCCTTGACCTTCTGGCTTCTGCGGAATTGGTATTTTGTTGTAATGGTTCTCCAGTTTTTTATGTTCTACAGGAAAGAAGAGGTTTTTATGTTGCTTTGATGGGTGATTAGAATATTAGAGATCTGTATAAGAGACAGATGTAGGAGAGCACACAATTGAAATAAGCCAACAATTCGCACAGAAGGAAAAAAAAATAGAAATAAAATAAGCCAACAATTCGCACAAAAGGAAATAAAAGCCAACAATAATAGAGAGTAAAAACCCCGAAAAAAAGCCGTTGAGTTAGCGATTAAAAGAGGAGAGGCTACAAAACCAAAATTGGGAGAAATATTTTATCCCTAAATTGCCCTTGATTAAAATAAGAATTTTCAATCTGTATACTATTTCCACTTCTCCCTTGCCACTCTCCGTTTCCCCAAGACGAATTCAGTAGAGCGGAGCTCTCTGCGGAGTTTTCTTTCTGCGGTTGATTAAATTGCCGGAAACTTCTGAAACCGGCGAGCATATCGACCGGCAAAACTTTAAGCTGCTCCTCTTCTTCCTCACGACCTCGGTTGTGGCAGTGCAAGCAAGCGTCCTGCTCCAGTCCCCGCCGTGCCCGTCTGACTCGGAAGACGTCCTGGTGGAGCCAGAAGGTTCGAGGACCGAGTCAGGCGTCATCAAACCGTCGTCCGAACATGGCTCCGGCAAAGGTAAGAACTTACAGTCAAAAATGAACTCCGAGAGCCCACCTTGCGTTCTTAAGAGATAATTAACCTGCGGATTAGCAGAGAAATCAGAATTTTACCCAAAAAAAGGACACCCAGATGAGATAGAGAAAGGAATGGAGGAGAGAGGGTAATTGAGATAACTGAGGAAAACCATGAAATATGGAAGAGAACGAAATACCCAAAAACAGACTTGGGTGTATAAATATTTATATAGAAGAAAAGAAAGAACCTTGCAAGAGAGGGAGCAGAAGAGATATGGGTCTTGCAAGCTTCTGTCACAAGTGCTGCAGATGTTACCGGAGCCTCTAAATTGCCTTGTCTGTGGCCTTTGGTTTATAAATATTACTTTTGCACTGTTCGTTATGTATGACTATCCATAGAGAGAGAGAGAGAGAGACGGTAAGTACCACTGAAGAATAACAAATATGGTAGAGCATGGAAGCAGCAATTAGATAAACCAACCCAAAAATAAAAGAAAGGAAAAAAAAAAAAAAAACGAAGGTGCAAGAACCCCAATTTCAAACATGGAATTTCTTGTCCCAGTTTTAGGTTGAAGAAATGCAGAGCTTATTTTATGATAGAAATGTACAGTTTTTTTAACTTCTAAGCATGCACAAAGAAAGGGGGAAGTGGATTTGCCAGAAAGAGAAAGGTTGAAAAGTAGAAAGGGGGACTAATTCAAACTCGCTTTTTCTATGTCTCTTTTCTTCAGAATTCCAGCAGAATCCAGCTGGTTAAATTTCTTTTCATGAGCGAGAATTATGACTTACTTGGACAAAGGCACAGTCCATTAACTTGTCAGCATCATCCAGCCTTACAACATCATGATACACATACCTTCTAATCTGAAACGTGACCCAAGAACTGAAATCAACATCGGAGAAAAAAAGAACACCAGATAATTTTTCTGGGGTTACCTGTAAGAGCCTGTGAGAGCGGTGAGGGGTCAAACAGTGAGGGCATATGCTGATGCAACAGTCCAAGCAAAAGATGTTCTTCTCGTTCTTCTTGGCCTCTTCATGAATTATGCAAGCGTTGAAGAATTTCTCAGTAAGAAGAACTTGCAGCCACTGTGGAAGCTGAGAACAAACCAACTTCAAATCACACATAAAGAACATAGTAATTCAGCTATCTTTAACCAAGAAGACAAAGAGAGAAACAAGAGAAAGCAAAACACGCAAAGAGACACTTACCATGGTTTTCCTATTTGAATTCTGAAGAGAGATTGGTCAGAGAATATGAATTATGAAGATTAGTTGGCGATACACCATTACAGAGACAGAGAGAACAGTGGGAGGAAAAAAGAGGAAAGCGAAACGGCGACTGGCTACTGTTACCAAATCTATGAACGGTGATGGTGGTGTATTCCTGTTACCAATGAACGAACATGAGAGAGAGAGAAAAAGGGTTGGCCTCATTTAAAGAGAAGTCTGTCCTTCACGAGTATTTGTACGCGTAGTCTACTCTAGTACTACAGTGCAAGGACTAGAAAAAAAAAAAAAAGGGGTATTTTTGAAGGTGGGAGGCTCAGGGAGCTTAGGAAAACTAATAGAAACCCAATAAAATAATCAGGAAAATTCATACCAATGCATCAACTTTCTTCTTATCTGTTACTACAGGAAAACCTGAACGCTTACCCTTTGGTTCTTTATCTGGTAAAAAAATAACCATTTGGTTCTTTTTGGATGGACTGGTTGGGGGGTTTTGTGCCTCTCTCTCTTCTGTGCTAAGTGCTAAATGACAAGACCACCAACAGTGACTTTTCTCAGTTCTCGGTGGATGAACGATTAAAAAAGGGGCAACTGGCATCAGGGTTTATAAAAGCAACAACATTAATTTGTATTTAATTTGGAATTTACTCCCAACCTCAATGGGATTTGTATTCAAATCCTGCTACCCAGCTCAGAAATGAAGAGGCCGGCATAAGGCGGATTTGTTTGACTCATGCCCAGACCGTCACACGACTTGAGAAAACACTAGAACTCTGTATTTACCACAATTAACTCCTGGACTTTTGAAAAACACATGGAATTAATTTTCCTACAAACAATAATGCTCGTAACAGCTGCATTTGTTGTCACATCTTGATATGATCCGTAATGAGAATCTCCACTAACTTCCCAAAATAAAACTATATTTTCTGGCCCTATTTGTGTCCTTGCACCTTAGAACTTACTGTTAAACTTTTAATTTAGTCCTTTAATTATTATATAAATTTTTAAATTAAAAGTATTTTTTATTTAGTTTATAAAATGTTTAAATTTTAATTTAAGTTAATTTTTTTTAAAAAAAAGTTGATATATTTATTATTTAACATTAAAAGATTATTATTTGATGACTACATATTATATTAATAACAAGATATATTAACTAATTTTGAATGAAGAGATTAATTTGAAGTCAAATTTAAAAATTTTAAGGGCTAAATCAGAAATTTTTTTAGTTTAAGAATCAATTCAAATGTTTGTATAATAGTTCGAGGGATCAAATAAGATTTAACCAAAGGTTTAAGAAAGTCGATTACACTAGAATCGGAATGATGAAGAAAAGATTTCCTGCCAATATTTACCAAAAAGGAAAGAATTTCTGGGAATATCATTCATAGGACCAAATAGAAAAATGCTGTGCGGGTCCCTCCCACCATGGTTGGACCAGAAAACCGCTTTGTCTAAGATCAAAGCCAAATCAAAGGACCATGGCAGTCGGTAGATGATAAAAATGGAGGGGATGGAGGGAGACGGAGTGATAACTGTGTTTATGATAAAGTAAAAAAGTACAAAGAAAATGGCTGGTGATGTATGTGTCACAGACAAAGAAGGCTTAAGGGATGGCATTAAAGCCGTACGCATTAGCAACAGCAGCAGAACAGTGCAGCCAAACAGTGAGCAGCCCTAGCGACCCACCATTATCACCTAAAGACACTAGGATCACATCCGCAGGGTACTCCGCAGATCCTCCTTTATTGCTTGAAATTGACTAAAGTTGGCTCCAATTTACTCAATATGAATATGGGATTCTAGTTGGGCACATTGCCTTTCAGCTAATCACAATGCCAATTGGATAATTTGGATAAGTAAATGGGTAAAAAAAGGGGAAATAGGGCGGATTTGAAAGACTTGCTTGAAGGGATGGAGCAATGATTTAAATGCCAAGACCTTTTTCAGGAAATTCTTCATAAATTCCGAAACACATGGGGCAAGGTTTGAGTGGTCGTTTCTTTCACCTAAAAAAAAAAATTGTTACAGTAGTTTTAAGGTTAAATGTTAATTTTAGTCCCTCAATTTTAGTGTCTTACACAAGTTTCATCCCTTAACTTTTTATAACTTTTTTGGTCCTTAATTATGATAAATATATTTTTTTAGTCATTTATCTAGTTTATTAAATCTGTCTAAATATGTATATTTTTAGTTTATAAACTTAAAGTTAAGAGACAAAATGTGTATATATTATAAATTAAGAAATTAAAAATATACATATATTTTAAATTAATAAATTTAAAATATGTATATTTAGATAAATTTAATAGATTAATTAACAAAATAACTAAAAAATTTTATTTCTATAATTGAAGGACAAAAAAACTGCATAAAAATTAAGAGACAAAAATGATGTAAAACTCTAAATTTGAAGGCCTAAAATCCACATTCAACCTAGTTTTAATTGTTCACCTAAAAGGAAACACGATCAGGACTTTTGTAAAAAGCCACTGAAATCAGTCTATTAGAGGGCTTTTTATATTGTGTGTGTATCTATGTATATATATATATATATATCTCATCAGCAGCAACATTCTGCATGAAGGATGGCAAGCAAGGTGACAAGATACCATAAATAAAAGTTTGATAAGAGTTTATACTAAAAAAAAGAAAAGAAAAAAAAGAACTCTTAGGCAATGTAATGAAACAGATCAACGCAAAAGTCGAGACCCACAAAGCTGTAAATTTTGAAAAAGGTAAGAGTTCAATGAGAAAGACTGGACATAGATGGAGACAATCATGCATGGAGACAATCTTGTAAGATAGCCAGACGGCAGAAATTCACATTCAATATTTAATGCTTCTAACTTCACAGGTGGGCTCAAGGCAACTTACGTGCACCATAATTCATCACTGAAATTTACCAATCATGTTAAATAAGATATGAATCAAAAACGGTAAAACCTGTAATTCCAATTCTACAGCACTCTGCAGAACCAATCTTGTTTCTATATCAACAAAAAAAGGATTAGCAACCAAAAAAAAAAAAAAAAAACATTGGAGAAGTTGAGATTCAAGACTCAAGGGCGTTCTAATTTAATAAACCACGGATAATACTGTGTACAGCTCCGGACAAAAGCGATGGGTGTTTGGATCGTGCTTGTCCAAATCCTCAAAAGCTTGAGCTTTTCTCTGTTTTTGTCGCATCCTCTTGAGCTTTCTCTTTCTGGCCTTGAGTCTCCTAGTACAGTTTTTCTCCACAAGATTCAACGCTTTGCCGATCTCTTTAAAATCGTAAGGAGACATAACATCGCTCTGTACAGTTGTAGCCACAAGGGAGTCAGCTCCAAAGGGAATCACACCCGCAACGGTGCCGTCCTCGGCGGACTCAAGCGCCTCTGACAGTTTGGTGAAGTCGTAGCAGGAAGCACTGGATTTGTCAGTGTTATTCCGCCGCGTCTGCTTCGATTCTGGCTTCATGGTGGGGATTGGATGCAATTGTTACGATAACTAACCGCTCGTTGGATTTTATTCACTTTTTGTTGGCCGGAGACGACAGAGTCTTAACCCTAGATTTTTGCAGAAAAATCAAATTGGAAACGGTGATGACAGAGAATGCTTCTTCCCCAAGAAAAAGCGGTGTATGTGTACGCGGGTTCCCTGCGTGTGATAAACAGACGACACAGGCATTTTGGAGAAAATATTTGAAGTGGGTTTAAGGCCCAACCCAACCGAACCCAAATTCTATTGGACCGACTTATTAACCAGAAAGGTAACTCGAACCTCGACCGCTTTGAAGTCCAGATTCAGGACATCGGACAATGTAAAGGTGGCCCAAGATCTATGGACCATGTAATTGGGCTACAGGGAAAAGTTTTACCAACTATGTTCAAATTTGGGTTTGACTTTTGAGGATGGGAGGCTTAATTTGACAATATTTCTTATAATAATACAGTTTGCAGATATTTATAAAATTTTTTATAATTTACGTATTTAGTAAATTATTCCTTTTTATTTTTTAAAAAAAATACAAAAATCATTTTATCTAAAATTAATAAAATTT